CAGCAGGACCCCGAGGAGGGCTGCGCGCCCGGCGCTCATGTCAGCTCCTGGGGATGCTGCCGGCTCTGGCGTCCTCCACCGCGCACATTTCCTGTTTCCTGCTTGTTTGGGTCCCTGCTCCCTTGAAGGAGAGGTGTTTGCCTGTTTTTTAGGAAGTGATGTAACTCAGCAGGAGCCTGTCCGACCAGCAAGGATTGCAAAAGAGAAGCTGCTCGTCCAGCTCTGATTCACTTAGCGCCCCCCACCCCCGCCCTGGAGTCCCAGCCCGCCCGCTCCAGGGTCCCTGCCCTGGGTCTGCCCCTCCGACGTCGCTGGGACTCTGCGCCCTGGCTGCTTTTGCTCACATCCCAGGGAAATCTGCAGAGCAGTCTGGAGCCCAGGACAGCGCTGTCCCACACCGCTCTGTGCTGATGGAAGACAGCGGCGTGCGCGCTGTCCGAAGCCGCTAGCACGCCGGCTACCAAGCCCTGGAAAGGAGCCTAAGCAAAACCGAACTTTATTTCACTTTGTAAAATTAAATTTAAACCATTCCCAGGGCTAGTGGCTGCCGTGTTGGATAGGCCAGGTCCAGACAGCAAGGACAGCTGTGTCCCCTCCCCCGGCCCCAGGGCACCGACCCCGTGAGGTCCACCTGCAGGCCTAGGACAGTGGCCGCGCCCCGAGTCTGAGGTGGTGCTCTTCACCCTGGAGAGGACTGGTCTCTCCGCGGGTCCGTCTCCAAGCAAGACACGCCGCGGCAGGCAGGGACGGTGTGCGCTCACCTGTCTTCCTTTCATGGCAATCAATTTCTCGGAGGTAGTTAGGAGCCACAAGGAACAGGACAGAAGTAGATATCGGGTGGAAATCCCACAATGGAAAGGAACAGGAGCCAGAAGGCGGGGTCGGTGGAGGACAGGGTGGGGAGGGACCGCGTGTGGTCAGTGCGTGTGGCTGTTTGAATTGTGTCCCTGGGCCCAGTTCGAGGCCCGAGCACACGGACTGCAGTTTCCTCATCCCATTTGGTTCTGCCCAGGCCTAGCAGAGGGGCCGCACCTGAGCCCCAGCCCTGCCCCAGTGCCAGCCAATGTAGCTCCTTGGCCCTCACCATAATCTCTTTGGTGGCTGGAATCCCTCAGCCCCCACACAGCCGGCTGCGAACTCCTTCGCTGTGGCGTCATGAGTCATGCTTTTCTCAGTCCTTATCTGCGAGAGAAGGTTGGTGACTCACTTAATGATCAGTTCGTTACTCATAGATTTACAGTGTGCGTTTTCATGTTTTGAACTGGCAATTAAGTTCACTCTTGACGAAGAGTGCTTTCGTGAGCTTGGGGGGACAATACAGAGCTGCAGGAGAAAACAGACGTCTTCAAGATGAGGTGAGTGATCTGAAGACGACAGAAAAAGCTCTTCAAACTCTCGGAGTGGATGGATAGACCCCAGGCCCCGAGACCTCTAGGGCCGAGTATGGGTGGCAGTTACTCGAGTGGGAGTGAGCGTTTCCCCAGCCGTGGCAGGTGTGCGAGACAGGCCCGGGGCTGGGAGTTCTCTTCACTCTTTTCTCTTCCGCCCCATTACAGGCATGCATTTGACGAGGGCAAGGCCGTAAGACTTGGGTTCTTTCACTTTAAAACTACATCTAGGGGTGGGGAGTTGCAGTGCGGTGCCTGGGGCTGGGCCGCAGACTGTCTTCTTGCCTTGTCTGCTGCTGAACAGCACCTCAGAATTTCAGCAGGTGGGCTACGCATTGCTTTTGAGCAGCTTGACAATAACTCAGAACGGTGTGCAAAATACACCGAGAAGCTTTGAGAAAAGCCTGCACGAGCATGTAATTTTCTTTTGACTCCAGTGCTCACTAAGACCCTTAACTGTGATAAAGCTTATCTGGAGGGGAAGAAAATTACCATCATTGATCAGAAAGTGGTGACAACCCAGCGACCCATCCACCCCATCCACTGCGGTTAGAGTCACAGGGAGGCCGTGTGGGAGAGAAAAGGCTGTTTACCCCTGTTCTGATTTTGCCAACCATTAATTCTTGCAAGTGGCTACCTGGGCTCTCATTAAACCCTGATGCGCTTGGGCAGGGAGTTAGGGCCTCCCCGCTAATCATGGGACACCAGGCACCTCTGAGTGAATGGTGGGCTGGGTAAGGTCACCTTGGTGGCTGCTGGTGGCTTTCCACAGCAGGAAGAGAGCTTGGTGCCTAGGAATGAATGGCTCATCACACCACAGAAGTGACTGTCAAGCAGTTCCTTCTCCAGACCCCCACCACCAGCCGCAGCTCGTGGGCCATAAAGAGGAGAGACCCTACGGGAACAGGTCCAGAAGCAAGTTTCTTTTCCTTTTGCTCTACTAATGGGGTTGATCGCAGGCCTTATGCATGCTGAGCAAGTGCTCTACCACCAAGCTACATCCCCAGTCTTTTGTATTGTGAGACAAAGTCTTGCTACATTGCTCTGGGTAGCCTCAAACCCTGCCTCAGTCTCTCGGGCAGCTGGGGTTACGGTCTGTGCCACTTCACCTTGCACAGAAGTGAGATCTTACGCGTGCAAGCTCCCCACCCCCACTCTCCAACTTGCTGTTTCCCCACACACACTCAGGAGCACGTGCACACAGGTGTACACCCTGCCTCTGCTGACATGCATCCATGAACCCTGGGGAATAAAGGAGAACCAGCAAATGGGGACGAGCTGAGGCTATTTAATTCAGAGCTTGGTACAGCAGGGAGCTGGCCTCCCTCACATTCATTTTGGCAGAGACCCAAGAGCAAGCAGGGGACACAAAGGATGGCTTCAGGGGTGCCCCGACAGGAATGAGCAGCAAGTTCTGGTTGTTGGTGGCAGCGACTTGTGAGTGACCCATATTTGGCTTCTCCCAAATTAGAAGCCTGTGAGGTAGACCTGCCTTCCTTCACGCCCAGGACTGGTTTTCTAGACTGACTGTGGTCCGTCTTGGGTCTGAGTCCTGTTTTTCCTGCTGGATCTGGCCTTTGTCCATTTGGCTACGGAGCCTTTCCACACCTCCCCCATACACATTCACACACTCACAAAATGTGTGTCCAGGCTCTCACTAACAGAACACCCTCCCTGACCTTCACATGGACTTTCTGGGGCTCCTTTTCCTGTTAGAATGACAGCTCCTCGGTGCTGGGTTTGCGAGGCCAGGCCCTCAGGTGAGGCAGTGTCAGAAGGGGCTCTCATGGTGCTGCAGGAAGTTGGGGAGGCACAGGAAGGAGGCAGGAGAAGGCCGGGAGCTGACGCAGTGCCCCAGAGAGTCTGAGCAGTGTGGGACAGTGAGGGGCAGCTCGGGCCCGGCCTAAGGCAGAAGGAACCAGAATGTGCCACAAGGACAGGGGCTGACAGCAATGTGCAGCCCTGGAAAGGCCACACCAGCTCGCACAGCCAGGTTCATAGCAGTCAGCCCAGCTGCACCCTTGGATCTGAGTCTCTGTCCCAGCTGACAGCCCTGGACACACACTGTTCAGGGACCATGCGGAGTCTGGGGACCCCAGGGGCTTCCACTGCAGGCCTTGGCCTGCACCTCCTTCTGGAAGGGTCCCCAGGACTGGCAAATGGCCTGGGAGCCACAGTACAACGGGAAAGCACCATGGTCAGGAGCTAAGGGGCAGCAAGCACAGGGCACTGTGAGCAGCCCAGAAGAAGCTGGACGTCCACAGATTGGCACGGGGACTCGAGGTTCCCGACGACCAGCATGTCCCTGGGGCAGAGCCTCTGTCTTCTTCTCCAGGGCATCCCCAGCATCTGGGAATGAGCTTAATAGTTTTTTGAATGAACAAATGGAAAAGTGAATAAAAATTCTTTTTGCTACAATATTTTTGAAGTGCTTTGGAGGGCTCCAGCAGCTGAGTCAGAATCTCAACTGAGGTCCAGAATGTCAGGTTTTATTTTCTTTCACATCTTTTTTTTTTTTTTTTTTTTTTC